CTCAATGACACAAGAGGCCTGTTACAGTCCTATGTTCTCAAAAATAACTTGCAGGACTGAGTTTTGTGTGTGTACAATATAGAAATGACCTATCATTTTAAAGTTGAAATACACAACTGGGATTAAATAAAAGTCGCATTGATTAGTTCTAGAACTACAAACACTTATTTGTTCCAGTGAATAGCTGTTTGCATTTTTTTTTTAAATAGAGTGAATTTTATTTAATACTTTGTAAAGTACAGTCTAGCATTTGCAATTATGCCTAAATTAAAATTGTGCTAATATTAATTTGCTACTTGTCACATCATATAGTATCCTAAGACAGTGTTTCTAAGAGTATAAAATATATGTCAACATTTTTCTGACAGTTTACAAATTAAAATGCCTTCTTAAAAACGGTTTTCTGGTATAAACATGATTAACCTGTAAACATCATTTCCATTAGCAGCCTAATTATGTTCCCACTGAAGTCCATATCAACATTCCCTCTCTGTTATCATTATACCACAGATTCAGATGTTAAAAACACTTAAACACCTCAAGTTAATAGCATAGCAAGTGATCAACAGTGGAGCTATGATCTGAATTGCTCAAGTGAAACAGTTGCAAAGCACTGGAATGTTGTGACATTAAAGCAGAGGTGGGCGAATTACAGCCTGAGGGTCAGATCCAGCCCACCAAGGCATTCTGTCCAACCCACAGTGGGTCCCTTGGCCCTAACTAGCCCAAGCATGGGGGACATCCTGAGCTGTGGCATGCGCAGATGGTCCTGGTGGCCCTAGGCGTACAGTGGGACTCGTGCAACACAGTGGCTGGACTCCCTTTCCCGGAAGCCCGTGGTGGCTCCTTCTAGCTGCTGCTGCCAGCCACAGCCCTGCTGCCCAGGCACCCCAGCCCGTCCACCTGCACCCATCTCTGGGGGCTCCTGACAAATCGGGCTAGCAGGGGCTCCATGGAGACTGGCTGGACCCGCTCGGCTAGGGCACATGACCAGGCGGATGAGAGAGAGCTTCGGGTGGGGAGCAGCATCTGGAAGCAGGATGGGCAGGCAGGGCCAGGGATTGGGATCATGAGGCAGTAACAGAGCTAGGCTAGGTCTGAGGCAGAGCCACAATCTGCTCCCAGCACATCCCAGTGACAGGCGCTGGTTCCATGGGCAGGGACATGAAGGGAGTGGATCTCTGCCCCGGGGGCAAATTGGGGCAACCGCCCTGGGCCCCAGAGCCGGGTGGAGCAGCATCTGGCTGCTTGGCACTTGCTGCCGAATCCACTGCCGGCTTCCTCATGTCTGGGGGAGGGGCCCCGCACAAGCTGATTTGCCCTGGGTCCTGCACCCTGCTCAGGTCACCTCTGGTCATAAGAATATATGAAAGGGTCACAAGCAAACTTTAAAATGGATCAACAAACTTTAAAAACGGATTCTTCTTTAAAGGAGAAAAACCATGGCTTTTCCCTTGCAGGCTGGCAGAGTTCCAACTTGCAAAGGGCTGCTTGCAGCCCCTGCTGCCCCATACCCCCCACCCTACAGTCCCACTACCCATGTCTCATGCTTCCCCACAGTGGGGAGCTGGAGTCTGGGGGCAACAGGTTGCGGGGTGACGGACAGGGGGGAATGGGTTGGAATTGGCCATCAATGTTTACAAATGGGTCTTGGTCCAAAAAAGGTTGAGAACCACTGGCCTAGAGGGCTGGCAAGCAGGGATGTGGCTAGGAGCCAGACACCTACTCTTTATCCTTGCTAACAGATGGTGCCCGGGGGGGGGGCGAGGAAAGGTGGGGGTTGCAACAGGAGCATGTAGCTGGGAGGCAGAGAAGTGTGGGGGTTGTGGCTTACCTTTGTAGGCCCCCTGCATTCCCATCTGGGGGTGGTGGGTAGTGTAAGAAGGCTGTTCTGCAAGCCCTTCACTAGCCCCAGCCCCCATAACGTGATCTCAGGCCCCGCACCTTCCCCAGAGAGGGCTCTATGCTTCCCTGTTCTGTACTGTTGCCATGCTAAACTCCAGGAGCTTCTTGCTGGTAGCAAAGCTTTTCTTTCCTCCCCTGCTCCCAAGCGTCAAGATTGGAAGGGGGGGGGGGGGGGGGGGGGGGGGGGCTGGTAGAGGGAAACCACACCACCTCTTAAGCCACCTGGCCAGAGGAGAGCTGATGGTGTTTGAGGGAAACCAGGCCAAGCTATGTGGAAAAATTCCAATTAACCTCATGTAACCAAGGTTAATTGAACTTTTCTCTGGCTTTTGCCTAGCTCCAAGCCAGTGAAAGGCACAGGCCTCTCTGGTAAAGTTGGGGATGGGGTTGGGATCACATCAGCAGGGGTCAGTGGAGGGTTCTCTTCAACAAAGCCTCTTCCCATCAACGGAAGCCACAGCCTCTATGCCTCTTGCTTCCCAGCTCCATGTCCCTACTGCTTTAACCCCCTCTCAGAGTCTTTACAGGGTGCTGCCTGCTACAACCCAGGTAGGACACAACCCCTGGGCATTCAGGAGAGTGAAAAGTTTGTCCATGGAGCAGGAGGCAGGCAGGGGCTGGGAGTGGTGCACCCTGGGTTACTGGAGGGCCAAAAATTGCTCATTTTATCTCTGTGGAGCAGACCTGTTCAGTATCTTCATCAATGACCTGGAAGATGAGATGGCATGTACCATCAGCTAGTATGCAGATGACACCAAGCTGGGGGTAATAGTAAATAAGATGGGGGGTGGGACTAGGATTCAGAAAGACTGAGGCAAATTGGAAGTCTGCACCAAAAGAAATCTCATGAGGTTCAAATAAGGACAAGTGCAAAGCCCTGCACTTAGGACAGAACAATCCCATGTACCAGGACAGGCTGGGGACCAAGTGGCATCAGCAACAGCTCTGCAGAAAAGAACCTGGGGGTTACAGTGGATAATAAGCTGAACACGAGACAACAGTGTGCCTTTGTTGAGAAGGCAGTTAACAGCATACTGGGCTGCATTAGTAGGAGCACTGCAAGCAGATCAAGGGAAGTGATTATTCCCCTCTTCGGTACTGGTGAGGCCACATCTGGAGTACTGTGTTCAGTTTTGGGCCCCTCTACAGAAAGGATGTGGACAAATACGAGAGAGTCCAGGAGAGGACAACAAAAATGGTTATGGGGCTGGCGCACATGATTTATGAGGAGAGGCTGAGGGAACTGGGTTTATTTAGTCTGCAGAAGAGAAGACTGAGGGGGGATTTAATAACAGCCTTCAACTACTTGAAGTGGGGTTCCAAAGAGGATGGAGCTAGACTCTTCTCAGTGGTGGCAGATGACTAATGAACTACAGTCTCAAGTTGCAGGAAGGGAAGTTTAGGTTAGATATTAGGAATAACTTTCTCACTAGGAGCGCAGTGAAGCACAGGAATATGTTACCCAGAAAGGCTGTAGAATCTCCATCCTTGGAAATTTTTAAGACCTGGCTAGACCAAGCCTTGGCTGGGATGATCCTGCTTTGAGTATGGCACTGGACTAGGTGCCCTTCCAACCCTAAATTTTTTATGATTTTCTATGATTCTATAACTGCAGTTACCCTAATGTGAGCTTGGTAGCAAGTCGTAGAATTAACACTAACCTGAAGTGGCATAACAGACACTCAGAAGACATTTGGCATGTATTAATGAGCTTTAACGTGAGGGTGCTCACATTTTAAGTGCCATTTCTAACTGTGAAGTTACACCTTACATTTAGTCAGGTTTCCAGGTTGTAGCTGTACTGGTAATCCTCACTTGAAAGGGAACAACTTTCCAATGCTATGACAGCACTTAATGCATACTAAACTGCTTAACCATGCATTTTTGTGAGTTTTAACACCACTTAGTCTGTATTAAGTTAAATGGGTGACATCGGCCATAGATAAAAACATGGAGGTTATTTGCAGGACTGAAACAAGTCTCTCTCTAACTACATCTAACAAGCAACGATGAATGTATTTCTATAAATACAATCCCCTCTTCTATATCCCAGCCTTATAGTTCAAACACTGTCCTGCAAACGAAAACTGACAACTGTAACCTGCATGTTGTCCAAGTACTGCTACAGGACAGCAGGCTTGGCATACTCTTACTAAAACCAGAAGCCAGAATGTCAACAAAACAACATACTGAATACAATCTCAAGAGGATAAATGGGCTCCTTTCTCTTGCTTTCCTGTAAAAATAGCCTGACCTCATAATCTGAGGAACCAACAGATTTCTAAATTCTGCTCAGTTACACAAGAGGTCAACACTACAGCGGTCCCAAAGGCCCTGCAATTAAATAAAACACAAAGAGAACAAGAACTTTTACTTCACAAAAATCCAGAGAGGCCTTTAAAGTGAGAACCTGTAACATTCTGCCAATGTTAGAGAAATTAGAAATACCAAAGCAGGGAACAACAACCTAGATGAACTATAAGGCAACAGGCAAAGCATAAGGAATTAGACAAAGTGGGGTAAAAAAATGACAATATAATTCATATACACTGGCCAGTAATAATCCCAGATCACAATGGAACGTCTGGAAAGTAAAGATTGTAATGAAGAATTTTAGACATGTCACAAGTCATCCAGCAGTGCCAAAGCTAGCTACCTTTTATACAATAAATAATATTTCTTCTTTGTGACATGCATGCAAATTATTGCATGAATAAGAGGAAGGTTACAATAGAAGCCAGGTACAGTTACGTCGTACCCCACCACCACCAAAGAACAGAGGAGGTCAACAATCAAACTGCAACTGCAACCCTTGTTGGTCAGTTCCCAGAGCTCTGAAGGAAACCAGAAGTGAAAACAACTTAGCGTGGATAGCGATCCACACCCATGTTAAGGTCAGCCAGGGGAAAAAAAAATATTGAGACAAATGACTGCGAGTTTTGTCTCCAACAAAATGAACTGCCCCACACAGAGATCTTGTGTTTTCTTGAACTTTTAGGCCCCAGTCCTATAAGTACACAGGGTTTGCCTGACCCAGGACAGGATAATTAATAATTTCACATTTCAGAATAAGCAAAATGAGAAATTAAACTTACACAATGATACCAGGATAACTCCTTATGTGGACAGGCTGATCTTTAATTGAAGAGTTTTAAGCTAGACAGGGAAAGAAAAAAACCGCAAGACTTATTCTGGAACAAAAGTATCAAGAGTAACAACTAGAAGTGTCCCATGTAAACAAGGCCTTACACACAAGAGGTGATCTGATCGCAGCTGGACTAGGGACACGCAGAGTGCCAACCCTCCCTGGCCCTGGGCCAGACCTGGACCACAGGGCTCCCGGCAGGCTGGCTCCAGACCGCAGGGCGCCTGGCATGCCAGCCCTGGACCCAGCTGCAGCAGCCAGCTGAGCGGCGGCAGAGCCAGGTGGCTGGTGGGCATGTGCAGCCCCCAGCGGGGCTGCCCCCGACTTCATGGACAGGCCCTGCCCTGCCCTACCCTGCAGGGCCCGGCGGCCGGTCCACACAGAGGCATCGACTACAGCTCGTTGCAAGGGGGCCGGTATTTACCACGTCAGCCGCTGTGGCTCCTTCTCCCCCGCGACAAGCGAAAGCTAAAGCCGCGCCGCTCCCCGGGGGCTCAGGCGGGCGCTTCAGCTTTCCCTTGCCCGGGGCCGAGAGCGGCCGGGGCGC